CCAGAAGCTGTGCTCACAGCTGGAGAGTGCAGCACCATGGCAGTAGCCTCTCCAGTGCCAAGGAAGGAGCAGAGAGCTGAGCAGTAAGGAGCAGTGAGGAGGTAGGTGGTAAGGAATGAGGGGTCCTGAACTATGAGAGGGATGTCTGACTGCCAGCATAGGCCTGATTGAGTGGGCCTAAGCCGACAGGAGGACATCCCTCATGGGGTCTTGGACTGCGAGAGGTCACAGGCCAGGCTGAGGACCGCCCCCCCCCCCCCCACGCGCACATCCCCCCCCCCCCCCCCAGTGCACGAATTTTATGCACTGGACCTCTACTGAACATATATTTATGAGCCACTGACAGATCATGAAATTGTCACAGAACTTGAAAATATTTGGGATCTATATTGTAACAATTACATATGTTATGACTATTTGACTTCAATTATGCTTGACAACCCTAATGCAATGCAGCCTTATTCACTGTTTTATTCTATACTTACAGAGGCCGGACTTCCCCGGCCCTCCACATGAGGGTAAGTCCCTCTGCTTAGTAGACATTTAGCATCGGTGCTTCTATTTTCCTAGCACTTTATCACAGTTGATTGTAATTAATTTAATGACATGAAATTCTCCAAGGGTAAAAAAATGTGTGTATCTTGCTCAATATTGTGAGTTGAATTAATATACGAAGAATATTAGTGTCTTATTAACTGGGATAGCCTAAAACACTAGGCTACAATGTTGGACAAAAACATCTTTAGGTTTCACTTTTGTGGAAACATAGAGATAGTTTTGCCTTATACTTGAGGTAATAAGCACCCTATAACATTCTAGTAATAAAAAACATTAGAGAACAAAATAGAATTTCTGCCTTTTGTGTCACATTCGCCTTTCCACACTCACAGCCTCTTTCCCCCCTCTGGTTCTAACAGTCTATAAAGTCTTAGAAGGTACCAGATGTTTGGAGGAGGCTGTCCCACACATCCTATATCTTTATACTAGAAGCAAGATTTATTAGAGCTATATAAATGTAATTCCAGCCGTAATATGGCCCCTTGTTAAATAGAGCAATTCTTACCCATGGAGGGTGGGCAGCAGTGCCAAACACTAAAAATAACCACAGCATATTACTGAACAACAAATTCTGCCCACAAACTGTTTCCCTCTAGGACATTTTACTTCACGAAAACATTTTTTTTTTCAAGAAAACCCTTTTGCAGCAGGCAACAATCAAACAATAAGGCTGGGATAAGTTGTGTATGAATATACAGTAACACCTGGGGTAAGTGCCTAAGCAGAGACTGTCAACGCCTCAAATTGCATTTTCTCCTACTGCATAGCTTCTAATAGAAAAGGCTAGAAACCACTCTTGTGTTCCTTTGGTGCTGCCTACCTCAGGGGCGCAGCAGCAGGCCCATTCTTTTGGGTGCAGCAACTGAAGTGCATATGCCATGTACTGGGGAATCCCACATGCTCCTAGAAAGTGGCTGCGAGTTCCTGGCAGAGGTGAACTGAGGCTTTTCAAATACTCTAAAATGGGTCTAATACCATCTTCTTCAAAGCTGTCAGCAACTTCTTTTTTAAAGTTCTTTGCATAAGAGGTGAAGAGTTATTCCTTTCCCTAGAGTGGTTTCCTGAGAAGAATTTTGAGGGCACTTTCTGTGTGCAGGGGATGGAGTTAAACTTCCTAAAGGAGGACGATTAAAATGCAACCTTTACGAAATTGAACTCCATGCCCTGCACAGAGATAGTGCCCCCCACATTATTATTGAGTAACTATTGTCGGTAAAAGGAGTAACTCGTCACACGTTCATCCATTTAGTAGCCTCTGTCACCCCAATAAATTTAAGTTAAAAATAAGTAATTAGAAAAGAAAAAGAATGCATCCCAAGTCAGTTCCTGATTGTTTTTCCAGGATGGAACCTCGAAAGGGAATGGAATACCACAGGGGTTTTTACTTGAACACTTCCAACAGTTCATCTTATCAGTGAGTTGCCTTTCTTTAGATATAGTCCAGACACCCACTGAATTCCAAACAGTTACAAATAACTTTCAATTAGTTTGTGGCTTTGTGAAGATCAGGACAATGTGCCTCCAATTCGATTCCTGTTTTTATTGACGGTTGATTGCATTCACTGTTAACATTTTTTGATGAGCACAATAATAAAAACAACCTATAAAATGGCAAAAATGACTCATGCAATTGACAGCAAGAAAAGTGAAAGGTTTGATGAAATGATGCTAGACGCCCAAGAGTGATGGCCTGCAGGTGCTAACCAAAGGGAGGGCTGTTATTTAGAACTTTTGTTGGAGCACTGATTTGCTCACTGGTCTTTGCTGCTGTATTCATGAACACTGCAACACTGTCATCTTGAATATATCTGTGCGGAAAATGGATTTGACACATTTGACTAATTTCTGTGATAAATTTGTGAAGCAATGCTTCACATCAGGACAAGTATTAGCAAGAACATATTTTGCTTTGTGAGTCTATGTTGGTGGTCAATTCTCAATGTCATAGCAAAATCTGAAGAAAGAAAACTGACAGCACTAATCAAATATCTCTAGCATTAATAAAGAAAACGAGATAGGGAAAAACTGGCTATGAATACATATTAATGTAGGGCTAACCACTAGGTTTCCTTCTCATTAAAACACTTGGTGGGTTCCACTTTTAGTTTTTCAATCACATGGTTTTCCAGACTTTTAATTACACATCAAATTGGCAATTAGGAAACCCGATTGATTAAAAGTTTAAGGATTTGTTTTACACTGAAATACCCAACCAGCACTGAGAAAAAAAAAGCCAATTAAGAAGTCACTGTTGGTCTTACAAGTTAAAAAGTCCATATTATCATTCTTAATCATGTCTTGCTCTAAGAAACAAAATCCACATGTCCATTCCTGTCAATAAGTTGCAGGCTGACCAAAGACAAGTTAACTGTGCTATGAATTAGGCAGTTTCAACCCAAACATCTGAATAGTCTTTACGACTCGAAACTGATGCTATAAAGTTTAGTCTGGTTTTTAAAATATGCAAACATTTTTAGACTTCTTGATGAGAGTACATTTTTATTAGCATTATTTGGGTAGAGTGTCTGCCAAAATTAATCTACATGAATATTTTAGAAGATCGAGTTTATTCTGATTACTTTTTTTATTCATATCCGCCTCCAACATCTTAGCAAAAAATGTCATTTCTGCATTAGAAGGGTACCTGAATGATTAACTTTTAAAAAAAATTTCCCTAATTTTTCAACTTAAGTAACCCAAGATCATACAAGCAGATTTTGCCCTCCCACTGAAAGGCGAGAACAGCATGTCAATTTATTCTCTCCAAAATGATTTTTGAGATTTTTGTTAGAGGACTTCCATTTGAATCTACCCACTCTCAAATCTTTTTCATAAAACTTCAAAACCATTTCCTCTGGCCTTTCTAGGCATAAGAGTGTGTTAGCCAATGGGTTTCCCTGACGCAGCTGAATGCCGGTAACTTAAGCACATCTTTCTCTGCACAGTGGGCTTAGGTTGTTCTGTATTGCAACACGTCTTAGCTCTTTTCTTCTCCTGCTCAAATCTAAGGTGTCAGAAGACTCTCCTCGTGCATTCTGGCTTAGAGGTTTGCATAAGTGAGCAGGCCCTCTGAGGCTGAGGAGTGCCGGTGTTATTTGCACCGCTCTGCTTGTCACTATGCAATTGCAGTAAATGCAATTGAAAGTGCTTTTATTTGAAGGCCATTTGACAGAGGGGAGGGAAAATACATTTACTCTTTCAAGGCCTGTGTATTTTCCTGGGAGAAGCCTGCCGGTGAAATGTGTCCTTTTATCCTTGGATAGCTAGTTGGGAAATACCTTTTGGCAGTGCAAAGCCCGCATGATTTCTGCAACTTAAGACATGAGCCATGATTCACAGCCCTTCCCCGAATCTTCCCCACCTCCTTTCCTCCCACCTTCTCAAGACTGGAAGGCTGATTCACGCTTGTGTGCTCGAAGCGTTCTTTTCCACAGAAAGAGGAAGGAAATTTGCATACTTTACCAACAATATTGAGCTATCTTCATCACAGATGTTTAAGGAAGGAGTTGTTTACTAATATTGAAACAGCACATAAATCACATAGAACAGCTTAGAACTGGTTCCGCTCCCTCAAAGCAGATGGGGATTAATACAGCGCTTGAGTTATTTTACAGAGGCAGCACTCACAGGGGGCACCCTGTCTTCTAGCTGCCCAGGGACCACAGTCTCACCTCCCCCGGGAACCATGGGATGGGAACATGACCAGAACTTGAATACTGTACCCTTTCAGAGCAAAGGGTCTGCTGCCCAGGAAGATCCCGTGCAGACGCCCCCTATCATCAATGACCGAGTTCCAAGGTCCTCCCTTAAAAATCACCCCACCAGCGCTTCGCATACCTGTTCCCCCTAACTCCTTAAACCCTTCCATCCTACGTCGTCCGGTAGTTCAGGTATTAAGCCATAGGCTTCCCGTTCTCCTAGCTTAGTGCTCTGCAAATAAAGCAATCGAATTTTCCCACTGCAAAACTCAGCACTCAGTGTTTGGCTCTGCTGTGTTGAGAGGGGGGAGAGGGGGGCGGGCAGGGGCAGGGGATTGTAGGGAACAGTCTCATCCTGTTGGGTAACAATATCTGTGTATCCGGGATTACGTTGTCATACAAACAAAAAAGACACAGTACTGTGGATTTCTTTTAGGAGAATCTTTCCTAAGTCTCACCGAAATTCAACACGCTACTTTCATCTTCGCAGGGACATCAGCTAACTCAATACAGCTGCCTTGTGCCATCTTTAACAGGATCGTCCTTCACCATATGAAAGGGAGTCTTACTTTTCAGAATGAAACAAGAAGGAAAATGCAGAACGCTGTTTATACTTTGCTAAATGCTGTTCTGTTTTGTGTTTTTTAAACATCCTCGTGGTCTCCACAAGTCATCACAACTTTGAACCTACCATCAGGCAAGTCCCCACATTTCTGTTTCTGGATGAGTGCAAATGCTCCTTACCTATGAACAGGTTCCACTCGGTGTCCAGATCGGCCTGATTTGCCAGACAGCCCTTCATGACATTGAGGCAGTAGTTGTTGCAGGGCCTCACGGTGGGGAGTCCTCGGCAGTACGGGCAATACAGCATCTTCATGAGAGCACGGATGCACCCTGGGGTGGGGCTGACCTGTAGATGTATTAAAAGGAATAGGAAATCAGAAATAAGAAGGGTGGAAGGGAGGAAAAAAGATGTAATTCATTTCATTCTTAAAACAAAAAATCGGTGAAACGGTTCTGGCAAACCTCCAGCATTAGAACAAAGGGTTAAAAGACCATCAGAATCTTAACCCTTTGGAATACTTGCTCTTGAAGCCAGTAATTCTTGTTAAAGACTTCTGTTCGGCATAGTAATACTCATTTTTCTTGCAATGTCCCCGTCAACATTTTGATATCTATGTCACTGTAATTCAGCCCTAAAAACCTAGACACTGTTTCATTGCAACAGAACATGAAATGAGATAATGCATGTGAAAGCAATTTACAAAGATAAAAGCCCCATAAAAATGTAGGTATTATTAAAGTTTAATGTGACACCTTTAGACAATTTTCCAACTGGTTATTTGACCCTGTCTCTAAAGGAGGCTGCCAGATATACTTCCTTCGTACATAACTTTTTTAAAAGGATCGATATCAACTTGTCTGGGATTTCTGAGGTGCAGCCCTGCTTAGAGGCAATGGAACTGCCCGGCTTCGGGTCTCTGAAGCTTGGCAGTTCTGGAATTCCGTGGAAAATGGATCCAGTGTTGAATGTGAGAAAACCTTGCAGTAATTCAGAGGAGCTACTAACCAACTGACAGTGAGTGCTATTTGCCTCGAACAAGGAAACACCCTAAGTTAATCACTTATAAGCCAATGAGGCCCTTTTCAGCCTCCCTGAAAAATTTGCTTTGACTTCAAGTGGAAAGAATACTTAAAACAGTATGGATCACACATACACACACACACAAAATACTGAAAGCTCTTTTTTCATGATTTAGACACAAACATTACTTTCACATTTATTTGGTTGGTTCCATATAATTTTGGTATTTAAATGAAGTAATTATATGTTGCAGTTCTTGTGTTCTACATCTGAGAATAAACCTAACTTGTATCACTTGGACCTCTTGGGGAGTTTCAGTCTTATCAAGTAAACTTGGATCTGCAGTTGACATTTACATCTCCAGAACATTCAGATGCTGACAAAGCATAACACCTCTACAAAGGTAGGGAAATAAAAGGTGTTTCTGCATAAATGGAAACTTTGAACAACAGCAACTAATTGATGCCATTTTATCCTTTTATCGAGTAACCACATTGGAAGTTCTCAATGCAAGGCTTTGGCTTCTGTAGCATTTTCTTGACTTTATGTTGTATATGGACACAGTCCCCAATATACTATTTCAGAAATGAAGAGTTTATTTATTTAATTAAGCACTGAAAGTTCTAATTACCCTTTTTGTTTTGTACATTTTTCCAAAACTTTATGACAATTTTCTAACATATAGAAAAGGGAACACCCATATTACCACTCCTATACATTTAATATTTCCTACAGCTGCTTTTCCTGACATCTATCCATCCTTCTATTCATCCATTAATCCACCTTATTTCTTACTCACTTCATAGTCATAGCCTTTTGATTTTTACTTTTCCTGGTAATTTAATGTTGACTTTAATAAAGTAGAATTAACATGATTAACATGATAGAAAGTTAGTGCATTATGTACTCCAAATCAAATAAGTGAAGTAAAATATAAATAACCTTTCTTTATAAAAATATTTAGAGACTGGATTAATACCATTAATTCTAAAATTTATTATCCCAACAATAAAACAAAAACAACAAGGGAGAACAAAAGTAAGGATTGTAATGACTTCTGAACACACATTAGTGTTACCATATCATCTTCAGATGGGTTATTTTGTTGAAAATGACAAACTTTATCCACAATTCAGTAGTGTTGTTTTAAAAATTTCTTTTATCTACATGTATTCCACGCCATTCACAGAAAATAGAGAAAATATTCTGTATTTTCCGTACCGAGTCAATGTGGAATTCCAAATTCTTACACATTTTACTTATTTGGCGTGGTTTCAGTCCTAGAAACCTTTGTGCTCAGGATTTGGTTTTCCACAGTCTTCCGATTTCTCTCTTGACCCTGATGTCTTTCTCCAGAGACCTACCGATTTTCATGAGCTGCCTAAGTCATTTCTTCCTTTGACCGTTGGATTTTTGGCATTCTTGACATTGGCATTATATAAGGTTGTGTTTCTTCTCACTCTGTGTGCCAGGGTGAAATCTGGAGCAGTTGTCAATATTTGGGATGCAATGTCCTCATGGACATTGTGGACTCTGTTTCATCATTATAACCTGCACCACTCCGTAAGATACGCACATCATTATACGGTCTTATGATTATGACTTAGGTGCTCAATAAGAGCTTTTTGAATTGAACTCTCTATTGTGTTTCCCCAATTTCTTGGCCATTGTTGATATTGAAAGGGGGGGAAAAAGAACAAGATAGGTTTGTGCATCTAACATTCAATTGTTGTTGCTTTTTAACTTTGCTTTCAAAGGCTATTGATTGTGTTAATTCAAAAGCTTTGCTTTTATATTTTTATTTTTTTATTGTGTTGGAACCAGTGCAATTTCCTCAGTCTGACATTTAAGAAGCGCCTCCAATCAGGATAGCAAGCAACAGAAAATTGAACAGCCTTAATAACCTAAAAGAACAATGTTGTTCAAGTTAAATGTGGCTCTCTCAGTACTTTTGGAAATGACATTCTTCCTGGTCAAATAAAGGGCATTTGAAGAAGAAAATGGAGAGTGGAGGATCAAAGTTGAAGCTTTAATGTTCACAGACCATAGTTTTTTTGAATTGACACAGCTGCCTGCTTGGATTAAAACTTTAAAAAGTCATCACTTCAAAATTAAGACTTTTAGAAGTAAGTCTCTGAAAAGAAGGTTGTTTTAAATGCCAATTGTGTGAAGGGATATTTCTCTTTTTAAATGATTAATAGTTTTAAAATCATTCTATACCTGCTTTAAAATCTTTTTATTTTGAAATCAATATAGACTCACAAGAAGTTGCAAAAACAGTATAGTCCTGGGTACCCTGCCCTCACCTTCCCTCAATGGCAAAGTCTCATATAGCTATAGTACAATATCACAATGAAGAAACTGAACTGAAATTGGCACATTTCATGATATTTTTCATCTTGCATTCCTCTGTGAATATATATATATATACACATATGTATATATGCATATATATATGCATATATATATATATTCTAGTGTCTGTATATATAGTGTGAGTGTGTGTGTATACTTCTATGAAATTTTACTTGATAAATAGATTTTTCTAATGCCACCACAATTGACATACTGAACTTTTCCATTACCAGAAAAGGAATACCTTGTGCTACCTTTACCCACCCACCCCCTGTCCTGTCACCTGGCAATCTATTGCCACTGATCTCTTGTTCATCTCTATAATTTTGTCATTTCAAGAATGTTATTTAAATGGAATCATGTAGTAGTATATAATCATTTTAGCTTTACTTTTTTTTAACTGAGTATAATACCCAAGATGTCCATCCAAGTACCGCACGTATTAATGCTGAGCAGTATTCCATGGTTTGGATGTTTTAGAATTGGGGTGACTATTCACTCTTTGCTGTTAGGGATAGTACTTTTCTATTAGGAATAAAGCTTCTCTTAGTATCCATGCACAGGTTCTCCCATAAGCATAAGTATTCATATCTTTGGGATAAATGCTCAGAAGTGCATTTGATGATCCAAATGGTTAGTGCATGTATAGTTTTATAAGAAATTGCCAGTCTAGTTTTCAGGCTGGTGATAGCATTTTACATTTCCACCAGCAATGTCTGAGGGATGCAGTTTTTCCCACATCATTGCCAGTATTTGGTCTTATAACTATATTTTTTTAAATTTAGTTATTTTAATAGGTCTATTATCTACTTTTAAATTTATGGTGAATTTCCTCTGAATAATATCCATACCTGTGTTCTAGCCTCAATGAATTCTAGTAAATATTAGATTGATAGTCATTAGCCAGCTGATCTCTGGAAAATACACAACACTAAAAAATATATACACTTCTGAAAGAGTAGATAAATCTGCAAATTTGGTAAAACCAAAATAAAGGAGACCTAAAAACTTACATTTAGAATTTAGAACAGACTACGGCTCAAACACATATTAGCACAAATCTGTACACTTGGTGGACTATTAGAAACAATTTTTTTACTGAAGAATATTGTGTTTACTTAGCAACAATAAAGAATACAATAATCTTGAGAAACAAAATGTTGAATTTTTTTAAGTTGGTTATATGGATTTTTGATTAATATTTAAAATGTAGCTGTAGCTTCCTACATATTCAAAGTACACTGGGAAATAGACTTAAGTGAAAGGATAAGTTGAGATGTTTAGAAAAGTAGTATCCACTTGGTATAAAAAAACACACTGTTTTTAAGTGGAAAAAAAAAAGCAAGTTGAGATTGATATTATTTTTTGTACTTGTTTGTGCTCTTACATAACTTTTATTAGTATATGCTGTCCTTCACCAGTAGTGACCCATGTCAAGAATTCACAGTAGCGGGGTGCGGGGGGAGGTGGGGGATAGTCAATGGTTCCTACTCCAATATCCTACTTTGGAAAAAGAGACACAAGTTTGTGAGTCAATCATGTAAGAGTTCAATATAAAATCCTTGCTTCTTGGATTTAGTCCTGTTAACTTCCTTTGATGCTGTCTGTATATAATGAATGACTTGTAAATTGTCATTCTTTTAGTCAATGTTATAATTAACCAGTTTTGAGAAATACTAATAAAATTTGAGAAATAATAATATAATTTACTAGAGGCCCAGTGCATGGATTTATGCAGATTGAAAGTAAATTAATTAGAAGGTGGCCGGTGGGGCAGGACTGGGTGAGACAGGCCAGACACACCCTGGAGCCAACCTCCCCGGGTCCCTCCCCGCCGGCAACACCTGGGGTGGCACCGGGGCTCAAAGGGTGTCTGTGGAGTGAGCGGGGTCCCTCTGGTAGGTGCAGTCCCTCCACTTGGCCTGCGGGGATCTGGCCAAAACTGATAGTCTGACATCCCCCAAAGGATC